CTCAGCCTTCATTTGGGTTTCAGTAATTTCTCTCAGTTTCATTGCCCTTCCTGAATCCCTACCAGGCCTCACACGCCCTCCTTGCCACTCATTTTGGATCACTTGTTTCTCCCTCGTCCTTGGGTTGGTCAACACCACCTCCTTTCCCCCACTTCCCCTCTCCCATGTCCCCCCGAAACCATCAGTCCCGTTGTTTTCTCCTCCAGACAGTTCATCCAGCCTATCTTATCTAGATAGATCTGCAGAGATAATAATATGCACCAAAAAACAAGCCATAGCAAGGAAAAGTGACAAAAGAGAACACAACAATGACAACAACAAAGAAAACCAATGACCAAGAAAATAATAAATTAAAAATTTAAATAATAATAAATTAAAAGAAAAGAAAAACGTGTAAATATATCAAGGTCTGATTTTTGATCTCTAGGCGTGTCCTCCAGTCGAGTCCGATGGGTGCCATGCTCTGGCCCCAAAGTCTATCCTTTGCACTCCCTTGGGAGCTCCCTGATGTTTTCTTAATGGAGTAGAACCCTGGTATTTGACCGCATCAGTACTCGACATAATCGGATTTCGACGTGAAATGTCGAGAAAATTTTGCATCAGAGTTCGAACAAAACATCAGGATCTGACCTGACACACATTATTTTTGTAAACAAAAGTAATTCTTGTTTCCATCAATTGGCGTTAGTTGGCATTGTTAGTACAAATTGTTTAAAACTTTGCGGCTGTGTTTCAAGTGTTTTGCTATAATTGTTATTTTTTTGTGGCTTTTTGTACTGTTTTAGATAAAAAAAACATGGGTCCTAAGAAAGAGTTTTTTGAAAACAATCATTATAAGAAACTGGTTAACCATGTTATCGATATTGTTGGTGATAACTTAGTAAACCCTTTTAGAAAATAGTTAAGGAAACGCCAACAGCAGACCACATTAGACAGATTTTTTTTTTAAAGAAAGCCAGCCAGTTCCTAGTGAAAAGAAGGCAAAGAAGGGAAAAAACTCCTGAAAAGCAGCTACCAGTTGATTTTTTTGGAAGGGGATTTCCCTTACAAACAATGATTCTCTCTCCATACCTCCTCTCCACATCTGTGTCCACAGATTCAGATCCTCATCAATCTCTAGGTATGGGCCATACTGGAGTTGTTAAAAACGTTTTCAGTCTTGTGTTTTTTATTTAAATTATATTATTTAACTCTTCACTTATTTACTTTGAAATTTCTGTGTAGTGATTTGTATAAAAAGACAAGTTGGGGTAAAAACTTGGTGGTCAAGAACAGAATCTGTTTTCAGTTATCTCTTATGGGAAAATTTGACTCGGAATTCAACTGCATTACATCTCGACGCTCCTTCTAGAACGGTTTAGTGTCAAGGTCCCAGATTCTACTATACAGTATACTATTACTCTTTGACATAAAGCTCTTTCTTTCTTTCTTTTTTTTTTTCAAGATTAGGAAATGTTTTTTAAGACAACAGTTTCATTCTGTTGTCTTTTTTTATCGTTTTATTAGGGGCTCATACAACTCTTATCACAATCCATAC